ATCCATTCATTCAACAAATGTTTATTGATTTCTGACTTAACATTTGATTTTCAGCTCAATCAGCTGACTTTGATAGCTACTTGGAATAAAGTAGATATTATTTGATCAGGCCTTTGAGGAATAAGTAGAAATTTACAAATCAGAGAAGGGATGGGAATGGCGTCAATGTAACATGGAAATTTGAAAGGCACTGGCCATCAAGGTTAAGGCTGGATATCTTCTATGGTTAGAACATAAGATGCATGTGGAAAAATGACAAAAATATGAAACTGGAAAGTTGGGGCTAGCTGTTTGACAGCCTGTGTATCATGCTATATAGTTTGGAGTTTAGTCTGTAATCAGTAGAGAGTCATTCAAGGTAAATAATCAAGGAAGTTTCAGATGATTCACTTCAGTAGCAGGAAGATAGATTGGACAGGGAAGAAGACTAAGATGGCAAACTTGTCAGGAGATTAGTAAAATGCTCTAAGGCAAGATTGATATAGAATTTATGTAAGGCAGTTGCCTTGAGAATGAAAGGTCATATGTGAGATATAAGTGGTAGTATGCAAGATCTTCATAGAGTATTTAGCAATGCTCTACACATTTTTGAATACTTAACAAATCTCAACCTTGATTAAAAGAGAGGCTTAGACAGAACCTGGCTGCAACTTATAGAATGGGGGCATGAGGAGCTCCATGGAAACTCCCCCAGCAAAACAACCATAAATGTTGAAAATTATTTTTTAAAAACCACTTACATTCTTGGAAATTGTCTGAAGCACATAGAGCAAGTAGAGAAACATATACTCCAGGAAATCTACTAAGTGTTGGCAAAAGCAGGGAGGGAATGTGGCATTTGAATCTCAATCTACTCCCTCCTCCACCCCACCTCAGCACAGCAGAAGCAATATTGAAGGTGGGTACAGCCAAGGGAACAATCTCACCAGCTAGTCCCCAGTTTAGGGGTACTGTACCTCCCTGAGGGAGGTAGGTTGTGATCGTTTGTTTCTCATCCTCTCCAGCTCCATGTTGCAGAAGCTAGTTCAGGCAACAATAGCTGACAGGCTGGGAGTTCCCCTTCTCCCCAGGCAAAGGCAGGGTAAAAATGGTAGGCCCTGATTAACCTTGGTCCACTTCAGGAGGTGGAGGTTCTATTCTGGGAGGGGCAAACTAAGAACATCAAAAAGGCTACTATCCCTTCCCAGCACTCAATTTGTAAAGCAGGAGTGTCACTCCAAAAGAAGTGGGCCACTGTTCTCACCACTAGCTCTGGAGCATTGGCATAAGAATTTTGCTGGGGAGAGACACAGGCTGTAAAGACACAAAGCTCTGCAGCTTTTCCCAAAGGAATTGACTTGATTTGGAACAGTGTGTGGAAAAATTAAAGCCTAGAGGCAATCTCAAAAAGCAATGGAGATTTTGGTTCTAAGCAATTAAGAGGATCCTCAATAAGAGCAAAAAGCTAAACCATATGCTAGCTCAATGGCACATGGAACATTTTTCAGGATAGATTATATGGTATACCATAAAACTAGCCTCAATAAGTTTGAAAGATTTAAAAATCATACAAACTATGTTCTATGACCAAAATGGAATTAAATTAAGAACAGAGAGAAATTTAGGAAACTCACAAATATATGGAAATTAAGCAATATACACCTAAATGACCAATGAGTCAAATAAGAATCACAAGGGAAATTAGAAAATACTTTGAGCTAAATTAAAAAGAGAACACAACATACCAAAACTTATAGGAAGCAGCAAAAACACTGCTTAGAGGGAAGTTTATAGCTGTAAACACCAATATAAAAAAAAAGAAAAGGAGACCAGATGCAGGGGCTCATGCCTGTAATCCCAGCACTTTTGGGGGCCAAGGTGGGTGGATCACCTGAGGTCAGGAGTTCAAGACCAGCCTGACCAGCATGGAGAAACCCCATCTCTACTAAAAATACAAAATTAGCCAGGCATGGTGGTGAATGCCTGTAATCCCAGCTACTCGGGAGGATGAGGCAGGAGAATCACTTGAACCCGGGAGGCAGAGGTTGCAGTGAGCCAAGATCATGCCATTGCACTCCAGCCTGAGCAACAAGAATGAAACTCTGTCTCAAAAA